ATTCCAAGTGACGATACGAAATCTATTGAATATATGAATCGTCTATATAAACTTATATGTTTTATTATTGACGCACCGAAACGGAACAGTCTGTAAATAAACAGATTGAGAATGAAATAAAACAGGAATGATAATGATGACAATTGAAAGGGTTTGTTTCATGGAACATAAACAGGAGACGAAGAATGAATTGTTGAATGAAAAGAAAAAATTCTAGGCGCTCTCTCAAGTTCATATTAGACAAACAATATTCTATTGTTGTTTCTGATTGTTTCTCGTGTTTTTAAATAGTTTTTTAAATTACCTACTCAATAAGGAAAAATTAATTATATTCCGCTTAAGAAAAACCTTGCCAAAGAGAATTGTTTGAACGATTAAATCGCGTTAACAAAAATTATAAACACGTTATCTAGAAAGATTTTGTCATTTGATCAAAGACATTTTTCTATTTGTTCAAAGTTTACCAATTTGTTATATTCGAATCAATTTCATCTCGGATGAGTGAATTGTTTTCAATCGGTATTAAAATATAATAAATTTACGTTTGCTAATTTAAAATTTTCATAGTATTCATCTCTTTTCTCCGATGAATACTATTTTACTATTTAAATATTCAGATATTGGATAAATCAGATAATATTAATATTTGAAAATAAAAAATGTCAATGTTTTATTCTTTACATTAAAAACTACATACCTTGGGATGCATTTCAGATAAATTGTATACTATTATCGACTGTATAGAATGCATCACAAAACTGATTTTAAACAGGTGTATGCTGCGAATATTTATTTATGACAATACAGAACATCTATGTTTCGTTAAGAATTAAATAAATATCAAGTTATTTAAATAGCAAAAGTCATTAACGAAAGATACTGAGCTATAGATACGCAATTCTTAGTGAGAACAGTTTGACGATATGGGTTTTAACAATTGTCATCAAACAATATCATCTGTCTATTACAATTTTTTTCCATTGATCAAAGTGCTAAGAAATGAAAGTCAACTTTTTATGCCCAATTTCTTATGCTATTCGGAAAAAAACAAAATGCTTCTCTCTACGTCTTCGCAGAATAGAAATTCAGTTTAAAGGTTATAATTTCCTGACATAATAGAAATCTATTATGCTCGACCTATGCACAAAATAAATTATAGAAGAAATTGGATAGATTAGATCATTACTTCTCACTAGTGCTTAATTTTTTTTTGCATTTTGTTTTCTAGTAACGGAAAAATCAATTTCTTTCGTGACCTAAAAAGTGTACGTGCATATTTAACATTTACAGGCGAACTCTCATTGGTTCAAATTACGTAAATGTTGATCGGTCTTAAAAATAGAAATTAGTGTGGGATAGTACAATATCGTTTTTATAAGACTCATAAGACCTGAACTATTCATCTGTTAGAAATAAGAGGCTTACTTTATATATTTGTCAAGATAATTAAAGTATGTCTTTTTTCACTTCAGAATTTTGTAGTAGCTTCTATCACGGACTTGTTCTGCAAAACTCTGCCGGTTTGTACTCAATAGATGTTTCTTTCTAACTTCTCCAAAGCTCGACAGTTTCTTAGATAAAATATTATATTAACTGTAAGCGTTCATATTCATACGAGGAATTCACCAAATAATTGAGATAGATGAACCTATGAGCATCAAAATAAGTGCAAAGAACTGATTATTTTGTGTATTGAATAGTATGAAACTGAAACAAAATTGACAGGCAATCTCTGATTCCACAGAAACTTCTATAGATATGATAAAATGGGTTACACAATTTGAAAATTTTGATTTATTAATTGTTGAACACTTCAATACTTTCAAGTTAATGAAAGCACAGCTATAACACAAAAAAAGTTGGTCGTAATAGAAATCCACCTGCAGAATTTTGACTTACAAAACAAATCAGAAGCCCATAGAGCTTCTATTCTGTATCAGGGGTAGATGTAGGGGGTCTAAATATAAGATGTGAATCATGTTATATGAGTTTTTTTTATCTGTTCGCTTGTTTGTTATTATCATGAAATATATCCTACGTAATCAAGCACTATCATAGTGATACAAAATACGTCATATTCTTACGACATTTTTTTAAAGAAGATAGTGTAATAAATGATAAGTTCAACAAACATACCCGTTAGCTCTTATAAAAGGTGTGTGACTATAGCCACAGAAGATAATTTTGTCCTAGAAGGTTTTTATAACTAATGGCTTGTGTGATATTTTATTTATTTTTTGTGTCAATCAACTGCTTATCATTTCAAATAACTTTAAGTGCAACATCTTGCAGTCGTGGTTATTATTTGGATAGTGGCAATTGTTATCCTTGCGAACCAGGTGCATATTGTCCAGATGGATATCGACAATTACCATGCAATCCAGGTGAATATCAAAATTCATTCGCATCATCATCCTGTTCAAGTTGTCGAGATGGATACTTTACAATAGAATCAGGTTCGATTATGTGTAATATGTGTCCAATGGGATCTATGTGTCCAAATACTGATAGAGATCCTATCAATTGTCCAGCAGGAACTTATCAAGATAGTTATGGTAGGGTGAACTGTCAAGAATGTCCACAAGGTACGAAAGGAAGATTTATCTGATTCATTGTTTTATGTTTGACTTCTTTTACTAATGGATACTATTAGGTTATTATTCAACAACATCAAATTCACATCAATGCACAATCTGCCCAAAGGTAAAATGAAAAATTTCTTTTTTTAAATAGAATATTGTTAAGACACTTTGTTTATCTTGGCCTAGGGTTATGAATGTCCTCGTTCCGATCAACCACCCTTGGCCTGTCGACCAGGTTAGTTAGACTCCAATACTATTTGACAGAAGTTCACAAATCTAACCAAATGAATTTTAATTAATCTAATGGATATATAAAATGAGTCTTGGATTGTATGATGAGGTGTCTTTCTGATCCACCTGTTAGATAATATGCAATTGATAAGACATTCTTAGTAGTTAAAATAAGTACTGATATGAACTTTTGAGAAATATTTAACTTTTACACAGTCTAAATCGATCATTTGATATCCCTAGAAAATATCTCATTCTATAGACAATGTTTTTATTATTCTGCTTCTGTTTTGTTAATTAACAATGAACGTGCTCGATTTCTGAACTGTCAATGATTTATTGAAGTAAAGAGATCTAGCAAAATCATCTATATGTTTGTTAAGGTACATATTCATATAATTATGGTGCTTATGCATGTTCTCCATGTCCCACGGGTTGGTATACCACTAAGAACGGTGCCGTACTATGCGATATTTGCCCTGATGTAAGTACATTAGTCATTGATTTAAAATTGAAGACAATATGATGAATTACGATTTCTTGTGATTTAAAATAGGGAAATGAATGTCCACGAGCTGATCAACCACCCAATATGTGTCGACCAGGTACATATTCTCCATATCCAGGATCAACATGTACTTCATGTCCATCGAATACCTATGCAACCAGTTATGGACAAGTATCTTGTAATGCATGCCCCCCTGGATATGAATGTACACAAAGTGATCAAGAACCACGAGCTTGTGCCCGTGGATTTTATCGAGATGGATCAATGAATTCTTGCCAACGATGTTCGTCTGGTATGTGGACTAAAAATACGACGTCTTCTCGGTGTGAAACATGTCCCGTCGGATTTGAATGTCCTACCGCTGATATCTCGCCAGTGCCCTGTCGTGTTCAGCTTTATTCGTAAACATTTTTTCATTTTTTTATTCTCTCTATTTGCAAATGATTTGAAAATTACGTATTTTCTGAATTATTTTCGGCACCTATTCATCAACTATCAATACCGTTACATGTTCACAATGCGATTCAGGATTTTATACGGTTGATGTAGGATCAATTCAATGCCAAATATGTCCACGAGGTTATTATTGTCCACAACCTGATACAGCACCAATAGCTTGTTCTAATGGAAATTATAGTAACTATAAACAAACTCAATGCAGTCAATGTTCTTCTGGCTATTACTCTTTAACGTCAAAAGCTACTGATTGTATGATATGCCCTCGAGGGTTTGCATGCACAGATCCGAGCTCAGCACCTCAAAGTTGTCCTAAAGGTACTAATGCAGACTACGGAGCAATTTCTTGTGTAACATGCTCTCAAGGATACTACTCCGTTCAAGATAATTCAACTACTTGTACTCCGTGTGCACCTGGATACTTTTGTGATAATTCAACACAATGTCCACAACAATGTCAAGCAGGTAGTTATTCATTAGCTGCTCAAACAACATGCTATCAATGTTCATCTTCATGCTCGTCAACTACTGGTGTTTTTGATTGTTCGACATGTATAACAGCAAAACCAACTGGATGCCAACAATTGGAAATTCCAGTTGGCATACATAAAAACTAAATTCCGTTAAAAAGATTATGTTAAAGTTTTTATCTATTTTTCTTTTTGATACACTCGTTTTAGAAATTGACAACGAATATGTTATTTCATCTAAGTTAATATGATGCTTTTTGATGATAAATAAATGAAAAGGAGACTGTTTATCTATATCATTCATCAATCAGTTGAGAAAAAAGAGTGAAGTCCAATAACACAAATACTTATACAAAGACTTTGATTCAATCAAACTCAGTGTAGTTTCTTTTTCTTTCAATAAATATCACCCTGCAAGATTCTTCCATTGTATATTATTTCTTTTTGCTAATATATAAAATAAAAAAAGAGCAGAAAGCAAAGATGATTAATTATTATAAAACTCTACTACTTTTTTCTTTGTTTCAAAAAATTAAAAAAAATTATAATATTTGATCAAAACAATTTTTTTTTATTTTAAAAAGAAAAAAGAATAGTTTTGCGAAAAAATTTCATATAATGCTGTCATTAACCTATGAATATGATGAGAAATTATATCAGCTGACATACCAAGATACGAATCATTACTATTTATGTAACTTGTAATTGTAGAAATGAATCAGATTCTTCGTATACGAAACTATTATGTCTAGGATGGTGCTGATACCTACGTTTCTTATTATCCTCATATATGTACATTCAATTGCAACCGTTAAGTGTCCATCATGTGTTGATATTTCCATCAATACAAATAACGCATCTCTTCCTATTGATGAATCTTATTGTGACCTAATAAGTGAGTCAGCTTCCGTATGTATAAGTGAATTATTTGTTGAATTGATTGATCCATATCCAGCTTTTATTAACTATATAACTGCACCATCAAATGCTCTGATCACCGGAAATGGTGATAGCGAGTTGGTCACAACTATAAATATACCATTGGACATTGGAAACCCTTACGGATCAGTTATCTATGATTGTTACGATGAAGATCTATGTAATAATAAAATAGTACAGAAACAATATGAAGAATTACTTCTAGTGAACTATACTAAATTGACAAATGAATTAACTGAATTTCTTTACAGTGATCAAAGCATTTCGAAACCACAACCAATTGAATGTTACAATCGAAATAATAAGATAGAAAACTGTTCCCTCAATCGAAATTGTCAAGCAACATTAATTATTGAACAGGGACGATCAGATTTACTTATCACAACCTCTATTTCTGATCGACGACCAGGTTCTACAGCTGGTCTTAGTTTTCATTCAAAATCTATCGGTAATGACTATAAAAGAACAACCATTTCTTATATTTGTAATAAAAATAGATGCAATGATCCAGTTATAGTCCGTAAAATTCGTCAAATTTTCGCTGAAATGGATTTTATTGACTCAAAAGCTAATAGCTCGAAGTTTCTATCAGTCTTTCTTTCCACTACTTGTATTATTATAAATATTTGGATTCATTGTGTGTCATATTGATAATATTTTTTTGATTGTAATATATTCTTTTTTTGTTTGTTTTGATATTTTACTCAGTAACTGATAAATATGAAGAATAAACGATTATTTTCTCACTTCAAGATTATTCATATTTCTAATAATATTATCTTCCACTGGAATTTTTCATATTCATCAATGAAATGTAATCATCAATAACTAAGGACGCTCTTATTGACGTGAGGAATCTCAGACGCGCCTACAATAAAAAAAAAGTCAAAGATCTACATGTCTATATTCGCAGGTGTTTGAAAAGTCTTTGTCACTTAAAAACAATGTATATTTCGGTTTATGAATTTTCAACTTACTGTTGATACAAGATATTAATCATGATATATTGCAGTGAATGGAAGAGCAATACAATTTCTACACCTATACTTCAACATTCTTTTTAGATTGTGTTCCAGAAAATTGATTGTTTTTTTTTGACAACTTTCTGCTTTTCTTTCTTAAAACAATTGACTGATTGATTTTTTTCTGGTTTGTTTTTCTTTCTTGATGAAGGTATTCAGCAAGTACTTGCAGGTTTTGGATAATTGTGCTAAAATTTGACTGTTTGAGTACGACAATTGATACTTACCGTGTCATATTGAATATTTCTTGAGTGCTCTGATATAGTTGTTATATACTCTAGTGATTAATGTAAAATACATAGAAGCCTATATTTTGTTTAGCGTTATCGTGTTATATCAATTTTATCTAGATATAAAATTAAATAGTAAGAAATACATACATACATAATGAAACTATGAGAAAACAATGAATATGAGAACTACAGCTACCATTTCACTTTAGCATTCTTTAAAAAAAAACTATAGCGCTAGAGAAACTTTCTTTGTTAGATAAGACGGTGAAATATTTCTTTATTTTTATATAATAAAGTAAGACTTTATTATTATTACTTGAAGGATCAGAGTGAAAACTACAATTTTAATAAAAAAGAAAGCCTATTTTAAAGAAAATATACAATATACAAAGAATTGTAGAGCTGCATGATTACTATTTCGTATCATGAGCAATCATTTCTGACTTACAAGTTCATATCTGTTAGATGTTTCTTTGTTAATAAATTTTCATGTTCGTTTGAAACTTTTTTGTTTTGATTAGTCTTTTAAAAGATTAATGAAAACTTGTTTTTATGATACCAAACTAAAGAAATATCAAATTTTCTCCATTAATGATGAAGATTTCCTTATGTTCTATCGCATAAAATACAAGTACTCTAAAATACAGATTGAATTCAGTAAAATATTAGAAAGGAAAAATGAAAAACATATTATTCCTTTAAACAAAGCAATCTGATTATACATACTTACACAATTTTGATTACTATTAGAAACGTTCATGGCAGTACTGTTGATACTACGATGGCATCAGCGAGGAGGTAATTTTAGACTTTAGTAGAGTTGTGGTAGTCTTGTCTCTTCTAGGACCGTGTCGCGATAGTAGCAGATTGCTAGCGCGATGGGCATGTATGATTACTGCAAAAAATCTAATAGATATTTTCAAATTCATAACTATCTATAGTCTTTTAATAATGTATAAAAAAAACAAAAACTGAAAGCTATGTGTCTATACTATTATCCAAATATCTTCATGAGATTAAATCGCAATCGAATTGTAACAAGATTAGTTAGTTCCTTTTGTTCCGTCGCATGTTACAGATAATTTATAAATCTGTATGTTAATGCAGAACTTTGTATCTGAACTTAGCAAATTGAATTTGAACGAATATCTATTATCACATGTAGGCAAATACTCAATCTCATCTAAGATGTTAACAATTTTAAATAGAAAGTCGTTTTTTTTGTTTTGTTTTTCTTAGCTACCATTCAAGAAAAGTCATACAAACAACTCATCAGCAAAGAATGGAGAACAAACTAGACAAGTCATTAAAATTGTTTCTTACTATTGCCAACTATATAAGAGGTCGCCCATAAACGCCGTTCAAGTAAGAGAAACGAAAAAAACAAGCATTTCCAGGTATCTCATAGAACTTTCTGAGGAATTTCAAAGCTTAGTTAGCTTTGAAGTGAAGTTTGAAATAGGAAATGAAATAGACAAATCAGCTAAAAATGAAGACTGTACTGAAATGATTCAAGATTATACATACTACAAAAGTAGATAGTTATTTCGTGCAATAATCATATAAGATTTGCAATACCATTTGTATTGACCTTCATTGTTTAACTTTTACGATTTTCTGCTCATTAAAATACAACAGACTTTGAAAAACAAAAACTTTGTAATAAGTTAGATTTTTGTTTGTTGTTTATGAAATGTGTGTGTATTCATTTCTATTTTTGATATATTTATTTAATAAAAAAGACAAGAGTGTTTTGGAACAAGCAAGTTTTTTCTAGAAACCTGTCTTATACTGGATGTTCAGAAAGAAGTCAAAAACGCAATTTTTATCTATACATGCTTTACGGATGATTCTTTAGGCCATTTTTCTTTATTACGTAACTTTAGTCTATTTTTGTATGTATACAAGTGCATAAATTGTTTGCTACATATTCTGCAAGACAACAAAAATGAGTACTACATTGAATACTCATTCGAGTACATGAACAGTATTCATACAAATGAAATTACTTGAATACTTGCACTAATAATTGGAATAACCATGCTGACAAGTCGCACTTGTTTGATGAATGTTTTCACAAGAGTTTCTGAACAAAGGATTCTTGTGTGTGAGAATTATATATTATGTTCACATCGAACTCGGTTGAATCAACATTAGACTCCATAGTGTGAGCTAATCAACTTATATATTTACATTTGTCTCATATAGAGACTCAACTGTTTAGCTTCATTCTAGTCTTCAGTTCACGAGCAATAACTACCTTTATCATCATCGTGTTATTGACATTATTATCCCAGTAAAATCATTTTGTTTCTAAATTTCTTCAGTTCGGTATTTTACATTTGCATGAAATATGAGTTTTGTATTAGTCTGTCATTATTATGCAGTTATTTTTCAAGTAAAACAAGAACGAAGAATAGTTTTGCTTTCGAATAAAATGTATGCAATCACTTTTTTATCGTTTCTATGAGTACAGTTTATGGTCTAATCTGGTTAAAAAAAAACAGAACTTAGCTTCCAATACATATTTTTGCATATATGCAGATGTCATACAATTCAAGTGACTATTTATGATTGGCGACCCGCATACATATATATTGACATCAATAAATAAAGTAGTATAATAGCAACTTTTCGTTAGTACGGCATAAGCGATTTTTGCTTTTTTGTATGAGTATCAAGGTTAATGCGATTGAATGCAGAGTAAAAATATTTGTTGTCTATTATATATTCCATGCAAACGGATTCGATGAGTTTATTTGTAACTAAACAAGATATAACGTTGTGTCACATCTTATCTAAGAATCTTATATATAAGGAAACTCTTTTTAAACGTTCATCTTCTTTTTCTTATACTCTTTTGTTTCTTTCATCTTCTTTTTTTGTTACTATTTACTTTCTCTTCCTGTCATTCTCGTTGAAAAAACACATCTCATCATCATCATCATCATCATCATCTATGTTTTGTGTGGGAAGTTTTTTATCACGCGAATACAACAGAAAAAAAGAAACGAGCCAATTATAGAACTGTGCCTACTTTTTTTCTCTTTCATTATATTATTCCTTATGTGCCCCTTTTTTTATTACGGAAAACTGGCATTATATCTTTTATTCTAACTTTAGATTTTGAAATAAGCATGTCAATTAATAGGTCAAAAGTATTAGCGAGTATTGTCAGAATTTAACATATAGAGTTGTAGAAAATAGCGTACGCTTTTCAAAGTATAGGCCTATCTTTGTTTTAAAAAAAAGAAACTCAGAATTTCTTTTTTATTCGTTCGAGTTCATAGAAAGAAGAAATTGATTAAAATGTCAGAGCTTAATTTTTGAGAAGGAAAAGTCAGTGAATGTATCCACAGAGAAATGAATGTTTACGTAGTTTAATTTGAAAATGTACGTTGATTTTCTTTTTTTTTTTCAATAGAGAAAATTGCTTGAATTATGAATCCGACAACTTTTGCATCCAATCTCAATCCGGACTTAGATTTAAAATATAATCTTTATGGATGGGGATATTTTCGATGTAGTGGAATTTTAAGTAAACCTTTGTTTTCATATATTGTTCTATGTATTTGTACATTTATTCAAAATTTTTCTGTAAATGGCGCTAACAATGCTGTTATTTCAACTGTTGAACGTGTTTTTTATTTAAATAGTGTGCAATCAGGTCTTTTCTTGGCCTTATATGATTTAGCTACAGTTTTATCGGCACCATTGGTCGGTTATTTAGGTAGTTTATATTCATCACCAATATTTTTTTCATTAAATATGATTATTGTTTCTATTGGAAATATATTAATTGCATCGAGTAATTTCATAAATCGAAATAATAAATTAAATTTCAATTTGGACTTTACACAAAATTTATTAGCCTCTGAAAATGTTCTTTTTCAATGTGATAATGATCCATTAGTTTATCAAGAAAATATAACTGATTCAATATGTTTAAAAGATGAGCGTTTATCGAGTACATCAACCAATGCAAAATTTCTTTTATATTCAGGCAATTTTATTAATGGCATTGGAAGTGTTGCCTTATTTACCATTGGTGTTGCTTATATTGAACGAATATTTCCACGTGAAAAAGCAGCTTATTGTCAAGGAATTTATTTTGCTGTTGGTACTGTTGGTGGTGCACTTGGTATTGTTGTTACTGGAAGATTTTTATTATTTTATACCAAACTTACACCTAGACGAAATCTTCCATCTTGGTTAACACCTAGTCATCCACTTTGGATTGGATGTTGGTGGTTACCTTATTTTATTTATGGTTCATTATGTTTTCTTATCGGACTTTTTGTATCTGGTCTACCAAATTATGAAATACCTGGCAAAAAACATTCGATTGATAGAAATAATATAATAATGCCAACTGTGTCTGCTCAACAACAATATAATCGTAAATAATGATACTATATACAAATAAGTTATTTTGTTTTCTTTTGATTTAGATTCTTCAATTAATCGAGAAAATAC